GTATGTATGTGTATGTAAGTATGTGTGTGTTTATGTACATGTGTATGTGTGTTTGTGTGTGTATGTAAGTATGTATATGTGGGTTTGTGTATGTATGTAAGTATGTATATGTGTGTATGTGTGTGTGTATATGTGTGTGTGTTTGTGTATGTATGTATGTGTGTGTATGTATGTATGTGTGTGTGTGTGTGTGTGTGTGTGTGTGTGTGTGTAGTATCGTGTTGGACACTCATAATCTGTGATAATCTCTAATCATTATATATTTAGTGTTTATTACTATTTGCTGATTAACTTTTTTATTTTGCTTGATTTTGCCTGTAGTATATACAGTGTATAGTGTTTTTTATTTGATATTATTTTTATTTATATCAAATTGTTTTGTATAGTTTAGTTGTTTGATATTTAGTGATAAAGTCAAAAAAATAATAGCCAGTAAAATATAAATAAAATAAAAAAAACATTATATTTGACACTAAATTAAACTATTTGTCAATAATGCTGTATAAATAAATAGATAAATAGAGAGAGAGAGAGAGAGAGAGAGAGAGAGAGAGAGAGAGAGAGAGAGAGATTAATAATAAATTAAAAATAAATTGTTTTCTTGGAAATAGTTATTTGATAATAAAAACTTTTTTATTATTATTAATATTATTTAACTATATTATAGGTTTTAATTGTAAATAATTAAATAAATATCATTTTAAAAAAACTATATTTATATAATAAATAATTTTATTTAATAAAATTGTTTTTTAATATGATATTATTATAAAGTTTTTATTTAAAAAATATTATTAAATTTTTTATATATTATTTATATAATATTATTTTTTTAAAATGATATTTATAGTTTTAAATATTGAATACTTATTCAAACAATTTATTCAATAACATAAATAATTAAAATTGAAAATTAAATTTTAATAATTATTTAGGTTTTAATGACTGTTTAAAATTATAGTCTAATATAGGATATAATATAAACTAATTGATAATTATTAATATTTAAAAAAACTGTTAATTATTATTTCTAATTATACTAATAAACTATGTTGTATAATAATAATAATAATAATTAATGTATATGTATTAAATAATATTCATATAATAGATAATATTTTTCTAACAAATTAGTTTATACGTCAATACATCAAATATATTACATAAAATATAATTTTCAAATTGACATTTAAAAAATATTTAATAATTATCAATATACTTTATATACATATACACAAACATATACAGTACATACACATATACAGTACATACATATATACATACACACACATATATACATATTCACATATACATACACATATATACATACACACATATACATACACACATATATACATACACACATATATACATACACACATATACATACACACATATACATACACACATATACATATAGAATATAGCCTATAATATTAATGCTAAATAATTTGAATAATATTTATTATTATTATTGAAAGTTTAATATATACGTATAGAGAGTATTTTATTTCAATATAATAGAAATTTTTATATTTTTTTTGTTTTGTTTTAGATATGCATCTAACTATGCAATACAAAAAAATTAATACAATTTCAAATGTAATTGATTTTTTTTCATTGTTTCCATATAATTAAATACCATAATATTCATAATACTGTATATTGTATAGTATAGTATACTAATAAATTGACAAAAAATTTAATATATATATATATGAAATATTTATCTATATTTTTGATGTAATTTGATTACTTTATACCTCTCTCTCTCTCTCTCTCTCTCTCTCTCTCTCTCTCTCTCTCTCTCTCTCTCTCTCTCTCTCTCTCTCTCTCTTTCTCACACACACACTGTATATTTCATATTAATATAATAATAATATGATTTTTTGGTGCATTTAAACAATGATAATAATAATATATATATATAAAAAATATTATACATATATATCATATAATATGATATTCATGTTTTCAACAACAAAAAATAATAATAATGTTTATATTTAAAAAAAAATAAAAATGTTACCTAGACAAGTATTTGAAAAAAATAATTAATTAAAAATTAACACATACACACAATTAAATATTTTAAAAAACTATTATTAAAATAAACTAGATACAATTTTTAAAAATAAAAATATTAGCTAGACAATAGTTTTTTTTAAAATAATTAAAAATTAACACACACAATTAAATATTTTTTAAAAAACTATTATTAAAATAAACTAGATACAATTTTTAAAAATAAAAATGTTAGCTAGACAATAGTTTTTTTTAAAAATAATTAAAAATTAACACACACACACAATTAAATATTTTTAAAAAATTATTAAATATGCTAGATACATTTTTTTAAAAAAAATGTTACCTAGACAATTGTTTTTTTAATAATTATAAATTAACACATAAACACAATTAAATATTTAAAAAAAACTATTATTAAAATAAACTAGATACAATTTTTTTTAAAAAAAATAAATAAATTGCTTACCGTTGTTCATCATCAAAATTAGCATTATCATTATCATTATTATTATTTTGATTATTATTTTGATTATTATCCAACATCATCAATTGGCATAGATAATTTTTATCCATGCTACTATTTCTATTATTATTATTATTATTATTATTATTTTGATTTAGCATGTTAACATTTTGTTGTTGTTGTTGTTGTTGTAAACAATTTTTGACAGTCAATCGCACAGTTAGTTCGCCTCCCTGTTCCCGATGATCGTCAAACATAAATTCATTGCCAATTTCGGCATTCAATAAGTCCTATATATATATATATATATATATCACATACATATATACATATTATATATCATATAATGATAGTAATAATAAAAATTTTACATATTAAAAAATAATTTTTTTAACTATTTATTTTTTTTTAAAAAATAAAATAAAATTAATATCTTAAACATACATTAAATGAAATCATTTTCATGGCCACTGTATTATAGATATTGATGTTAATTATTATTATTATTATTTTAGAAAATATTAATAAATAAAATATAAATTATTAGTTTTATATATTGTTATTATTATTTTTCAATTTATTTAGATTATTATTATTTAGATTTTAAATATGTGTTTTTAAACAAACAAACAAAAAATAATTACTATTAGTTTATTAGTTTATTAGTTTTAACATTTAAAAAAAACTTTCAATAATAATAATAACAACAATAATAATCATATAATATATATATTATTATATATTGTATATATTATGATTTGACTATTATATAATAGCACACACACACACACAGTTACGCACACACCTATAGCTTATATCAATTGGCTTCTGTATGTAATTTTTATTTGATAAGGGATGAGCAGCTTATATATATAGGCCTATGAGCTTGCAGTGCAAATAAAAAAAAACTTTACGCACCTTTAACTTTATCCTATCCTATCTATTAATATATGTACCTGTAGTTTGTAGTATAGTGACCATAAAATAAAATTATCAATATATCATATATCATATATATATATAGTAAACTGGATTAATTTGATTTAATATAATTTTTTTTTGTAAATTTTACCAAGATAAAATAATAGGATAGTTACTCAAAATAAATTAAATTCTAATCAAAAATTATTTTTTAAAAAAAATTAATTATATGTAGAAAATTCAGTGTTCAAAATGTTTTATTATTATTATTGTTATTATAAATAATTAACTTAATTTTTGAATGTCCAGGATTAATATATAAAGTTAACTTGGTCACTGTAAACTTGTTAGACAAATAGCAAATAAATATAATAATCAAAAAATAAATTAAATATGTTTTCGATAAAATTCTAGAAAATATATATTTATATTTATAATTTTATTGGTATTACAATTAATCATTATTTATAAATTATATATATATATATACTGTATATATAAAGTATCTAGATATTTTATTTAAAAAAATAATAATAATATGTTTAAAAAAATTACTGACGATAGAAATTATTATAAATTTATTTTATTTAAAAAAAAGTTTAATTAATTAATTAATAATTTTTTAATATCAATAATATTAGCTATTTTTTTAAACCTATTAAAATTTAGAATAAAATTATTTTTTTTTAAAAATGTTTTAGCTAGTATTAATTAATATATTAATTAAATATAATTAATAACATAAATATTTAATTGTGTAAATTGTAAAAATTCAAAAAAAAAATAAATAAAAAATGATTGCTAACCTCGACTGGACTCGAACTCACTCGAATTTTCTAAATTATTGTACTAAATGTGTCAAACATTTTTACGTATAGATGCCGTTACAATATAATATATATATATTAATATTAAAGTAAGTGTATATATTGTATATTGTTAATAAATTTACACACGTACAAAATAAAATCAATACATAAATAACGTCCAATAAATATATATACAACAATACTAGAACAGTCTACAAAATTCTTTATAATTAAATTAAAAAATATATATAATTTTTACTATTTATTAAATATTAATTTTCTTATAAAAAAATATATGAGTTTTTAATTTTTATTGAATTTGTAGAAAAGTTATATTTTTCTTAAAAATATTTTTTTTAGATAATATAAAAATTATTGTGGATTTTTGTGGTAAACACTAGTAAATTCTCTATACATTTATAATACAAAAAATAAATAATAGTCTGATGTAATAAATGCTAGAAATTTCGGGAAATATCTCTAAAGTTATTGTATATACAGTATATATATACTGAATATTTTATATAAAAGCTCAGGTAGTTTACTTGAATGACTAACCAAATATACAAATTGATTAACAATTGATTTTATATAATATAATAAAATAGTTAACAACTATTAGTGTGTTTCAAAAAAAATATATATTAATTCCCGATTTACTTAATAATAATAATAATAACTAATTATTTAAATAACTTTTTTTTATTAATTTAAAAAAAAGTGTGAAATATTATATATATATATATATATCTATTGAATATATATATATTACTAAATAAATTATGACATCCCATAAAATGCTACGTTTGGTACCACTGTTACGCTGCCAACGGCTACTCCCGGGCGGACAACTACAGGGTGTCCGCCAGTACTACTGGCCGGGCAGTCGGCGCTCGGCGGCCGCCGACCTATGGTTCCAGAAAATCGATGACATGGAGCGGTCGATGAACCGATTGTGGCGCGACTTAGACCATCGTATGTCGCCGTTTACCGGCGGTCTGGTTCGGTGGCAGCCGTTTAATGTCGGTCTACGACCCGATCTATACGGTATTGCTGCGGAAACAGTCGGCGAAAATGGTCAACGATTGTACAAAATTACCCTGGATTTGGGCCGCGAGTTTCAACCCGACAATGTCCAGGTAAATGTATCGGCAGCCGATCGGGTGGTCACTGTTCGGGCCCGTTTGGAGACCGAAACGGGTGGCAGCGGCGGCAGTGGTGGCAGTGACGGTAATTGCAAACAACTACACGAATATCACTATCAGTATAGTCTGCCATCGGAGGCCAACATCGATGAAATCCGGTCACTACTAACAGCCGATGGACAGTTGGCCATTGAGGTACCGCTACCGGAGCTCAAAAAACAGGAGCCGACGAAACACAAGGAGTCGCCTAAAGTACACGAAATTCCTGTCAAAAAAAATTAACAAATAATTATAATATTTATATAAATATATTATTTTTTTTTGGTTATAACTATTATTATTATTATTATGTAATAATTATTTTATTTTTTTTTAAATATAATATTTGAATAATATTTAATGGATAATACATTTTGTGTGTGTAGTTAATAATAATAATAATTATTATTATTATATAATTATAAATTTATAAATACTATCTTAATACTTAAACGATAATTATTTTAATTATTTAATTAATTAATTAAATATTATTAAATATTATTAGTAGTATTAATATTAATTATAATAAATTGATTAACAAAAATTTTTTGTAATATTTATGACATTAAAATCTTAAGTAATTTTGTTTTGTTTTTTCTAAATAAATATTATTTTGTAAAAAAATTTATATTAATATTATTTAATATTTCTAGTTTTAATTTTTAGTAATATTTTAATACTAACAATTAAAATAAATATAAATAAATTGTTTATACAAATTATGACATATTTTTTTAGGTTTGAAATATTGTTTGTAATAAATTTAAAATTTGAAATATATAAGTATAGTTACATCATAAAAATAAAATAGTTTTTTTAAAAAAACTATACTTGTACATTTTCTAATTTATAAATAGCTATATAACACAATTTATATAGTATAATAAATACTATTTATTATTATTATTATAGTATTGTTATAGTTACCAAGGTATTTTTACTACAATATATAATAATAATAATAATTACAGATTTTAAGTACATGGATAATTTTAATAAAAATATTTATTTAATATAATAATAACAATTATTGGTTTGTTTACTGGTATATCATAAAATAATTACTATAGTTATTATCAAAATCTAAAATATAAAATAAATGTTTATTAAGAAACAATTTATTAAATAACAATAAAAAAATATTTTGTATTAACAATCTAAACAATTATTATTATATATTAAATACTTTATTGTTATTTATCTAATAAAATATTGTTAATAATAATAATAATAATAATAATTTTTTAACAACAACAAAATGTTACAATTAATATTATTATATAAAATATTATTATTAATTTTAATTAATTTAAACCATATATATTGTTATAATAATAATAATAATAATAATACTAATATTGATCATGATAACTTTAATACTAGTGAAATTTTTAATTATTATTTTTTAAATAATAATTATACTGATAATTATAATAATTATAATAATAAAACTGATATAAATGTACAGTTAATTGATAATAATAATAATAATAATAATGTTGACCCATGTCTAGCAAAAATCATACCTAAGCTGACCAATACATGTGTCCGTCAAAAAGTTGGCCATGCTACTGATACCCTAGAGTTTAGTTGCTGTCTACTATGGATAGCCTACGATTGTGCCATAAAATTGGGCAAGGTAGTTTTTATGAATTAATTAATTTTTAAATTAATTTTTATTTTATTTAATTAATTAATTACTATAATATAGGAAATGTGCAACCCTGATGGGTTTAGAAATATGCAATTGTTATTAGATGGATTGATTGATCAATGTAATAATGGCCAGTGCAATGGGCACCGGTATGTAAAGGGTATACAACTATGTAGTGGCGTAGTAGCTGCCCATGGTTTACAAGTTTATCAGTATTTTATTAATATATTAATTATGTTAATTACAATACAATATTTTTATTAATTATATAAATATTTTAATTATTTTTTTAAAATTAATAAAAATAAAAATCCTATTTTTTAGAGATAAATAGTTTATTTTTATAATTATTATTTTAGTTAATTTTATTTTCTTAAATTATTAAATTACTATAATCCTGAGCAAATTTTGTTTAATATTATTTAATTTGCATTTATATTAAATAATAATCATTTTATTCTGTATTATAATAATATACATTAAAATTTCTATATAAATATATATATCAAAAATAAATCTATTTATTTATTTAATATATATATCACTAATATGCTGAATGACTAATTTGAATATAAACTAAATATAAATAATTGGGAAATTAAAGGAAAATTGCAAAAAATGTTAAAAATGTTACACTTTTTTAAAAAAACAGATTTGAAAACAATAAAATTAACTTTAATTATATCATGAAAAATTTATATTATATATAATAAATATATATATAAATACCATTATTATAATACAATACAATACAATACAATCAAACAACAACAACAAAAAATTGTTTGAAAAAATAACTAAATATTTTTTTTATCATGGTATGTGAATTTTGAAAATAAAATTTTGTTGAAAACATGTTTATGTTTCCCCGAAAAAAATATAGTTATTTAGTTTTTATTTTTTTTTGATTTGAAAGAAACATTATATTAATAGTCCTAATATTTTTGAAAGTGTTTTCAAACATATTGACTAATGTGTTAATTTAATTGTTTATGTGTAATTTATGTATATATATATAAGTAAGCATTTGTGTGTATGTGTGTGTATGTGTGTGTATGTGTGTGTATGTGTGTGTATGTGTGTGTATGTGTGTGTGTGTGTATGTGTGTGTATGTGTGTGTGTGTGTGTGTGTGTGTATGTGTGTGTGTGTGTGTGTGTGTGTGTGTATGTGTGTGTATGTGTGTGTATGTGTGTGTATGTGTGTGTATGTGTGTGTATGTGTGTGTATGTGTGTGTATGTGTGTGTATGTGTGTATGTGTGTGTATGTGTGTGTATGTGTGTGTATATGTGTGCGTGTGTATTTGCATATAATTTTAAATATAAATTTATGTATAAATTATTTATCCCAAAATTAAAATCTATTAATAGTTACTTATGTTAATAGCATTTGCTTAAGTATTGTCAATGATATACAGTCATAATGTTATGTACATTAAAACATTAAACCTTTTTTTTGTGTTTATGATGCGCGCATTTGTCTAATATATATATATATATATATATATATATATATATAATTTATATAATTATAAAATAAAATGGGGGGTGTGGGTGGGGGTAGTCATCATCAATATGTTGTTGTACTCTCTCTCTCTCTCTCTCTCTCTCTCTCTCTCTCTCTCTCTCTCTCTCTCTTCTCTCTCTCTCTCTCTCTCTCTCTCTCTCTCTCTCTCTCTAGTCTCTCTCTACAAGTATAGTTATAAATTTTCTGGCACTGGTATCCAAAAAAAAAAAAAAAAAATTGATGCGTGATTTTATGTGTGTGTATAGTAAGGGGTGTGGGGTATATAAATAACGGCTGCTTCTCATAAAGTCAACAATCTTTTAGGATTTTAAAGTTGTCATACAATACATTAAAGACAGTATTATTATTATTATTATAATTATTACATAACACATTGCATTGGTTGGGAACCTATACTATATATATATAAAATATATATAAGTTTTGATTTTAAAACAAAACTAGTGTATTGTTTCAACTAAAAAAAGCTCAATAAAAACGTTACAATATTTTAAAGTATAAAAAGTTATATTGAATTTAAAATAAGTTTTTAAAAAAAATATATTTTTAATTCAGTACTTAATCTCTCTCTCTCTCTTTAACTTTCATTGTGTGTGTGTTTTATAATTTGAAGACAACTATTATTATTATATAATATTCAACAAACAAAGAAAAGTATTGAAAAAAATTTATTTAATTTAATTATATATTTTGTGTTTTTTTTAGAAAAAAAGATAAATTAATCTAATAATTACTATAATTTATTTCATCAATTAATTTAGAGAAAATAAACTACTAACTCTACAGTAGTAATAATTTAATTAATATATATTATTTAAATTAATTGTTTAATTCAATAATTATTTTTTTAAGTATAAATTTATATAGAATTTATAATTAACGCTAAAATTTAACTTAAATATTAATTTCTATTTAATATCTATTTATTTTATTAATAGTTTTATATTAATTTAATAATTAAAAAAAATTAAAATAAATATTATTTACTTTTAAAAAAAAAACTAATTAACTAATAAAGTAATGGCCGATCAAATTACTGAACCCGAAATCATTGCCCATTTGGTACTGGATCTGAAACCATGGGACGAAACAACCGATTTACGAGCCATGGAGGACAAGCTCAGGCAGATATCGATGGACGGCCTGGTCTGGGGTAATGCCGAACTCATACCGATGCCATGCGGTTATAATAAATTACAAATCGTAACGGTTATCGAGGATAATAAGTTGACAGTCGATGAGCTGACCGAAAAATTGACGGTCGGTTTGCGTGATTATGTCCAAGTGGTTGATGTCAAATCGTTTAATAAGGATATTGCAGCAATGTAAAATTTTAAATTTAAAAATTATCATTATTATTAATTTTCAACAATTACTATATTTTACATATATATATATTTATTAATATAATAGATTTTTTTAATTATAAATATATATATATATATATATATAGTTATTGAATACGTGTTAATACTTATTATTATTATTATTACTTAATTTCATTATTATTATTATTAGGTATGCGTAAGATTTTTTGTTGTTGATATGAGTGCGTAAGTGTGCGTATGTTTTAATATTGAAAGTTTTTATTATTATTATTATTATAATTTAAAATTATTATTATTATATAAGTGTTAAATGTGTGAATAATAAAAAATAATTTTGTGAATATATATTTATATATATTTATATCATATATACGTTTATATATGTGTAGAGTTTTTATTGTAATTTTAAGCATTTTTAATTTTTAAAATAAAAATAATAGTATGTATGTATTATTATGTATTATGTAATATTATATAATTATTGTATTATTATTATTACTACTTTATTATTATTAATAAAATGATTTTATGAAAAAATTTAATTGATTTAAAAATTTATTATTATAATTATTATTATTGATATATAAATAGAAAATTGTTATTCAAAAAACTTTATTATGTAATTGCATTGTAGACATAAAATTAAAAAAAATTATTTATAAATAATCTATGAAAACATTGAGCTCTCTCTCTCTCTCTCTCTCTCTCTCTCTCTATATATATATATATATATATATATATATATATATATATATATATATATATATATATATATATATGTTGTTTGATTTGATTAATTTAGACTAAATTTTTATTTTGTTCAATAGTCTACGTGACAGTCTATTACAAAACTAAAAATTTTCAATATATATATATATATATATATATATATTTACAGTATATATATACTGTATAAACAACATATTGTACATATAGTACACACACACACACACACTAATGATGTTAATCTTTGAAATCATTGAAAACTTTTTTTTCAGTCTAAGTTATAGTTTTGTTGTTTTGGTTTTAGTTTATTATCGTACATATCCACTACTAAAAAACATTATATACTTTAAATGTAAATTATATATATATATATCAAAAAAAAAAWAAAAAATTTTGAACCTCAACATCAAATGTGTTTATGTGTGAATCAGCATATATTATTATTATTATTATTATTATTATATTTATTTATAGACCTGGGCACATCATCCTAAAACATACACACACACACACATACATACATACAAGCACTGGTAGTTTTTTGTTTGTTTGATGGTGATGCTGATGATGCTGCTTGTGGTGGTATATGGTGTAGTGATAATCAATTATTATAATTATTATTATATACTATACTGTAGTTTTCAAAATAATTTTTTTTTTCATAAACTCAATTATAAATTACACATTTTTTTTTAAAATTAATTAATTAGACATATTATAATTTATCATATATTATGTTATATAAAAATTTTTAGCAAATAAACAATAATAAAAAAAAATAGTTTTCGCAATTTGTAATTAAAATTTTTCGACAACAACAAAAATTTTCACATTTAATATTTTAAGTTTATTTTTTTGAATTTAATCCAAATTTAGATATATATATATATATATATATATATATATATATATATATATATATATATATATAAAACAGTATATATACTGTCTATATTTAATATATTTAATTACAATACATATACAGTATTTTTTTGTCTAATGTTATGGTAGGTTATTGAACCTTACATCAAAAAAATTAGTTAAATATATATATATATATATATATAAATATTTTTATTTTTTATTTTTCAAGTTTGCCATTAAAGCAAAATTTAATAGTATTAATAATAATAATAATAATACTAATAAATAAAATAATGTTAAATTAAATAAATAAAAAATTAATTAATTAATTAAATCAAGTTTTAATATCAATAATTTTTTAATATTTTTGGTAATTGTATTCAATTAAAAAATAAATTTAATTATATTCAAATGTGATCTTGAAAAAATTATTATATTATTATTATTATAATTAATCAATAACAAAGTTTGTTGCCAAAAAAATATACAGTATATATATATATATATATAATATTAAAATTAGTATTAATAATTTATATTGTTTGATTTTTAAAAAATAATAATAATATTTTATTTTTGTTATATTGCTATAATTATATGTAGTTTAAAACAATTTATATATATATATATATATATATAGTATTGATATATACAGTAATTTTTAAAAATTTAATTGCAATAAAATTTTTGTATTTATATTATTTAAAAAAAATAAAATACTACAATATTTAGTTAAATATATAAAAGTTTTATATTATTTCAACAAATAAATTAAAGTAAATTAACTATAAAATCTGTATAATAATTATTAATACAATAATTTATATATTGTATTTATATATATATATATATCAATACTGTATATAAAACTAAAAATATTTCAAACTAAAAATAAACTATTTGTATCATGTATCATTTTTAAAAAAAATTATATTAACATGTTTGACAAAATATTTCCTATATATATATATAATATTAAACATTAAAATACCATTATATTCTGTATATAGTAACTGTATTTATGTATTTATTGATTAAGTAACCTTGATTAAATTATTAAACAAAAAAAATGTATGTATATGTATTATACATATAACAATAAATTGCTTTAAAGCGGTAGTAATTTATATAATTTTATTTTATTTAAAAAAACAAAAATCTGCACATGTACAGTTTCAATTTTTTTATAAATACAGTATTATGGCTTTAAATGTGGCGCTAATACTTAACGTACACAGTGTGTACTACACATACATACACATACACACACATACACTCACATACATTACATACACACACATACACACACATACACACACATACACACACATACACACACATACACACACATACACACACATACACACACATACACACACATACACACACATACACACACATACACACACATACACACACATACACACACATACACACACATACACACACATACACACACATACACACACATACACACACATACACACACATACACACACATACACACACATACACACACATACACTGAGTGTACGGTACAATCAATACATATAGTACTGTTTAGTACTGTACAGTATACACTCTATACTAGTACACTATACCGTATTACTACTACTACTACTACTACTACTACTACTACTACTACTACATTAATACACTATACATTTACTGTACATGTAGTCACACACACACACACACAAAATGATAATGGCCTTGAATTATTGCGCATTGGCAATTTACTTTTTATTTTATATGCAATGTTATTACTATACACAATGTACATGTATAGTATTCATGTACATGTACATACAAAAAAAAAATTTTTTTTTAATAATGTTAATAATGTAGAGAGGGAAAAAAATTACGCAAGTATATACACCAGTCACAGGATTTTTCACACTTATATGTTATTTTATTTGCTCTAATCTTATATATAACTTAAATATAAGATAACACACAAAAAATATGTGCGCTAAAAGTGATCGCCATTTCAAACAACACATTGAATATAAATTTAATTAATTATAAATTTGTTTAATAAGTTATTTTAATAAATGTGAATAAAATATTACAACAAATGATTGCAATTTATTAAAAACTAATATTATGACAATAAATGTGTAAAAATTAAATGTGCAATAAAGGTGATAACAATTTCAAGCAATTATACAATATTTAAAGCTGCGTTCACACGGACAAAATCTAAGTAGACTTGACTTAAGTTTTGGTGTTCACACATGTACTTACTTGAGTTACCTTGACTTAACTCAAGTACAGTAGTGACCCCTTCTTAAGTAAGTTTACTTCATTAAGTACAGTGTGAACACACGAGACTTATAAACTTAGCCAATCAGTGTTAAGTATAATATGTAAATATTATTACGTTTTAAATGCCTGCTTAGCTGTCTAGCAAAAATATTACATTTAAATTGTTATTTTTGTATAATTTTTATAATTAACATCAAAATTAATAAAATAATTTCAATAATTTGATTAATTTTTATAAAATTAGATAAACTTAAGTGTAGCAATGTGAACACATGTTACTTGAAACTTGACTTGAGTTCAAGTCAAGTCTACTTGGATAAGCATTAGTGTGAACGCAGCTTAATAGTTTTTAATTTATATATAAATGTGATGTCAATAATTGCAATTATTAAAAATCCAGAAAATGGCGCTCAAAGTACAAAAAATGAAGTTTTTAAAGTATAAATTTGAATAAAGCTTCAAAAATAAAATATAGAAATTAGTATAAATTTTTTTTATATATTTAGGAACATATATAAAATGGCGGTTAAAGTACAAAAATAAGTGATGGAATTAGCATACAAATTTTTATATCTTAAAGAAGATAAAAAAATGAAGGTTGAATTAATACCTTTCAAATTAAGCTAAATTATGATTCAATATAATAATTTATTTGAGTTATTTTATATAATATATTAATAAAGTTTAGTTTATTTTGTCATACTGAATCATTTGATTTTAATTAATTTTTAGTTCGGATTAGGAGTTCGTATAGATTTGCTTTCTAGCATTCTCAACTGGTTTTATATGGACATTTTTTCTGTGAAGTTTATTAAATAAAATTTATTTTTTTGGCGCGAACTGAGATCCGGTCTTAGATATACACTATACACTATATATATATATATATATATATATATATATATATATATATATATATATAAAATACTATCAATGTGTTTATATTATTATTATTATTATTATTTTTAAAAGCAACAATGTCGGATTTTTTATTTATATTATATTATTATTATTATTATTATATTATTAAAATTACTTCCATGTTCAAAACAACAATTATTATTTAAAATATATATAATTTTAAAAATATAAAAAAATGAAACATCCAAATAATAATTTACGGTTAATTTATAATAATATTAATTAAAAATTTGATTAAATCAAAGTGAAAATATTGTTTTTTTTATAATTTTAGTTTTATTAATTTTTTTTTTAAATATAATATGATCTACCTTAATTTAAACCAACAAAATAAAAATGTGTTTATTTGTTTATAATAAATAAATAAATAAAAAACAATACATTATGTGTAGTATACATGTGTAGTATAAAAATAAATAAATAATAATTTGTGTAAACAAACAATTTTTTTGTTGTTGAAAATTTTAATAATAAAAAAATAATAACACTTTTTTAAAAAATAATAAATAAATAAATAAACGGTATGTATATTATAATAATATATAGATTATTAATTATTATTATTGTTTTGTGCCATGTAACGTTTTCAATTATTTTATTTATTTAATTTTTATATATTTTTTTGCTAATGTTAAAATTTTATAGTAATAATAAATAATTTATTATTATAATTTTTATGTTTTTCAAAATGATAATAGATTTAACAAAATAATTTTTTTATTGTAATTTGTTTTTTGTTTTTTTTTTAAATTTTGATTTATTGATTTAACATATTTTTTTGTATTTTAAGTAAAAACATTAATTTTTTTTCGTCTAAAAAATTAATGTTTTTTTTAATTTTTAAATTTTTAGTTAGATAATAGTGCTATATGATATATATGATAAGCAACAAAATTAATTAATTAATTATTAATAATAATAACCTAGAATTTTCTAGTCTAGTCAATTTTTTGTTTTATTTATTTTTTAAAAAAAAATTTAATCACATGTTATTATTGTTTTAATAATAAATATCGTAATAATAATAATAATAATTATTATTATTATTCTAAATATAATATAATTAATTTAATCATCATCATCATAATTTTTTTATAGAAATTAAAATTATAGATTTATTTATTATTAGTATTATTTAATAAATATAAAATAATAAATTAATTAATTAATAATTACCTAGTGTAATATATATATATATATATATATTTAGAATATTTAAATTAATTATTTTTAATTAAATTTAACAATTTATATGTTTTACAATTTTAGTTTCTTATTGTTTTTAATTTAATTTATTTATTTTTTTGAATTTATCATGATTAATTAATTATTTATTTGTTTTAATTTTAGCAACAACAACAACAACAGTGAAAACTATACTAGATAAATTTTATGATTAATTAAAAATTTAAAAAATAAATAAAATCACCATGAACAAACAAACAACAACAAACAGGGAACTACAGTCTCCGTCACAGTTAGACCTGGACTTGGATTGGTTTAGTTTGGATCAGCCATTCCGATCGCGCAGCCATACGTGGCCACTAAAACCAAAACCTGATTCGCCGATAGATGAAGAGGACGAGGAGGTAGTGGTGGCCGCCGAGTCTAACAACTATAATGTCAATACTGTACTGGCCGTCGATAGCAAACTGGCCGCTATTATGCGCGAACTTGAAGACAATGGTAGCCGTGGAGGAGCTGCTGGTGACCAACAATATCAACAAAACGGTGGCCAACAAAGTCTACGCAAACGGTTGCTAACAGTTAGTCCCGGTTCTGCTGCCGTCGTCAATAACAATGTACCCGATTTTATCGACCTGACCACCACCACCACCACTAACTGTAGGGACACTAATAATACCGGTGCTACTATCGACCCGCCGATGTCAATGTCGTCGACCGATAGCAGCGGTATGGCCAGCAATAGCAGCGGCAATGAGGACAGCAAAAAATCCCGCCTGAATCCGTGGGGCGTCGAATCGTATGCCGAACTGATTACCCGTGCCATCAACGAGTCGCCCGATCGGCGACTACGGCTATCCCAAGTATACGACTGGATTGTCGACAATGTTCCCTATTTCAAGGACAAGGGAACCGGTAGTTCGTCGGGCGGCTGGAAAAACTCGGTCCGTCATAATCTGTCCCTATATACACGATTCAAACGGCTGCCGAACGAATGTACCGGTCAGTCGTCCTGGTGGACACTCAACGATGAGTTGGCTACCGAAAGTGCCAGTAGTTTGCGGAATAGTCGCCGTCGGGCGTCATCGTTGGACACACACCAGTACAAGAAGGCCAGGGATAGAGTGAAGAAAAAGTTGGAAACCTTACGGGAAGTGGTGGCGGTGTCCTCATCGACACCGAACAGGACATCGTCGTTGAAGGACTTACCCGATACTATCGATACCTCCAGTAACGATACGTCGATACTTGTCCAGCACCCGGAGCTCAGGCACGGCAGCCAAGAAACGCCGCTATCGTCGTCACAATCCAGTGGTGGTGGTGGCGGCCACTTGTCTCCCGCAATGTCCAGCAGTATGGGTGACAACCGACAGGTTTGTCTACTAACTATTAGGAGATTTATATATATATATATTCATAAAATTGTTGTGTTGTATGCATACCTGTTTTAGATATCACCCGTTCCGCCATTGATTAGCATAACTGATCCGATATTTATCAATATATCGCCTGATAATACAAGTGGCGGCCAATTATCGACAATTAGTAGTATCGGCGGCAACAACGGTTCACATCTACAACAACAACAACAACACCGATCGCCAACATTATTCACAATCAGTCCGTTTGATTCGCCACAGCCTAGCACTGGACAGCCCCGGGCAGATCCCGTTACCATTAATAATGATATTAATGGCAGCTTAGTAGACGACGTATCCATGATGAACGATCTACTGGTGCCAAATAATTGCGGTGTCGGTGACGATGACGTCAACGATATCAATCTGGATCTAATGGATGGACAACTAGATCCCGATGCTGTTATCAAACAGGTTCTCGATCATTTTGATTTTGATTTTACCATCGATGACAATAGCAATACCGGTAGACGTTGAGATATAATCGCTGTGTATATATATACCGGTATATCGGGGACTACAAACACACATACACACAGATACGATGACTACTACTACTACTACTACTACTACTACTGTACAATACATTCAACACAACATTAAGGTACATACCTGTCCACACCACCCTTTCCACACACCCCACCCCACACCCCAAAAACAAATGTATATAAACATAGAGTAAGCATGACTGCCATAATATATATATATATATTGTATATATGATATGATATAATATATTATACAATATATATATATATATATATACTACTATTATATTATATAACTATAGATTAATCCCAAAAAATACAACAACAACAACAAAATGTTTCAGAAAATTTCAATGAAATTTTTTTTATTTTAATAATTCAATTGTTTTTTTTAAAAAACCTGTTATTTGGTTTATGTTTTGTTAAAATTTTTTTTTTAATATTATTATTATTATATCAATATTATATATCTATAGATAGGTAAACATTAATTATTATTATTATTATTATTATTATTATTATTATTTAAGTATATATATATATTAATATATATTAATATAAAACAACAATCACCAAAAGCTACAACAATTATAATAATAATAATAATCGCCAATATTTTAGTGCAATTATTTTTTTTACTGATTATTATTATTATTATTAATAACATTAATTTTGCCTCAATTTTTTTGGTTGCATTTTTGCAAACAATATATATAATGTATATAAAATATAATATATATATAAGGTTTCATATATATATATAACAATTATATTAATATATATAATTGTTATATATTTAACCTATCATACAGATTACCGGTAATTTTTTTTTTAAAAATAATTAATTATTATATTATTAAATAACAATTGATTTGTTTTTTGCTCATAATGTGAATAATATTTAATCATATATATATTATATAAATATAATTATTATTTTTGTTATTATTATTATTATTATTAACATACATTAGATATATATATATATATATATTAAAAACATGATGTATATTATTAATTAAGTTATCCCGGTATGTTTATTATTATAATTATAATTATTATAATTAATTGTGTGTTTGTTTTTATGTTTGTGTTTGTGTCAATTAATGATTTTTTATAGACAATTATTTTTATTAAAAATTAATTATTTTTAATAATTAAATAATATTTGTTGTTTAACAATTATCTGTTTATGAACTTATAAAAAAAATATTTGTCTCTAAATATATATATATATATATTATATAAATATTAATATATCTGTATATAAGTTATGAAAAATAATTGATTTATTATTTTTTAATTATATTTTAATTGAAATTGTTAGAAAAAAAATAATATTATAAACATTTTAATTTTAGAAAAAAAAGATATAGTGTATTTTTTAAAATAGAGTAAATTGAAAAAAAATAAAATAAATTAATATGTTAATTATAAATTTAATTATAATATACTTATTGCTGTAAAACTTAGTATAAAATTTTTTTTAAAAAATAAATAAAATAAAATATAAAATTGACAATCAATTGTATAAAAATTTAATTTTTTTATGTTTAATTTTTTTACAGTTTTAAAGTWGTATATATATAAATAAAATTAAAATAAAATGAGTTATTATAAAATGTTTTGTTTAAAAATAAATTTATTAATCAATTAAAAAAATCAAAAAATTGTTTTTATATTAAATTAATAATAAATAATAAAAAAAATTAAGTCAAATGATTAAAATATCTGTAAAATAATTGTACTAAATATTTATAGTGTTATAATAATAATAATAATAATWATTATTATTATTATTATTAGTTGTAGTATTATTAGTAGTATTAGCATCAAGGTTATAGGTTTTTAAAAACAATTTATTTATAATTTTTTTTTTAATAATAAATTTTTATGATTATTTAAAATATTATTTATTATTTATTGTATTTTAAATTTAAGCAATTTTAGAAAATTAGTATTAAATATATATATATATATATAAATAATAAATACTGTATTATATTATAAATATATAACTAATTAATTATAAAAAAAATTGCTTGTATTATTAATTAATTAGAAATATTTTATCATTATTTAAATTGAGCAATTACATTTTGTTTAGGTTAGGTTAACTAATAAGATTTTATTATAATTATTATATATTAATATACTTTATATACTGTATATTAGTTTTAGAAATAAATGTATTTTAAGTTATTTATAGATGTTTTGAAATTAAGTATATATTTATTATTAATTTGATTTATAAAAGCAAAATAAATTATATACAAATGTTTTATTAGTGAAACTACTAATTAGTTGCTATAKATATATATATATATATATATATATATATATATATACTGTATATATATAATTGATATTTAATTAAACATATTATATAAGTTTCAAATAAAACAAAAAATAATTATTTTGTAATTTGTTATTTTACAACAATAGGAAATCTAAATTATAAAATAATTACTTTTTTAAAAAACTATTTTATATACACTATTGATAGTTAATTGTTATTTTTTTTAATTAATAATAATATTTATTTAATATTTAAAATTAGTTTAATTTAATGGCAAAATTAAATAAAATTGATTGTAAAACTAATAATAATAATTATTATAACAATAAAAATATTAAACTTACTACTACTACTACTACTAATAATAATAATAATAATATTGTTATTAAATATACTACTAATAATAGTAGTAATAATAATAATAAAATTACTAAAAATAATTATAATAATAATACAATCAAATTGATTAGTCTATTAAATTTAATAGAAAAATTTTCGCTAAAATATTTTATATTAATTCAATCGATTGATAACTATATATCAAATACAACTATTTATCTATAATATTAAATATTATTATTTTTGAAAAATAAAAATCTATTTATTTATCATTTTATAATTGAGAAAACTTTTTATTTTTTTCAAACAACAATTTAATTATTTATTAATTAAAAATTTATGATTACATAATAATATGATTAATCATTAATTTTTTTAATTATTATTATTACATTGTGATGATAGAAATCTAGCTACCCGTCCACCACCACCACCACCACCACTAGGTATACCACTTTGACTATGAGTATTACAAAATTTCAATAATCTCCCGGTAGATAAATCCCTGAGCCATATATGTTTAATAAATACTAATTTTTTCGATAAATTTCGTTTAGTACTCCCGTTCCTTGCGGTTGTCCTATTCCGGGTACTACCGGTGCTGCTGCTGCCTAACTGATCATTGTTACCAAACAAGTCGATTGTCTGTCTAAATATTGTACCAAAACTCCAGGTACTCGTATCCAATAAGTTGAACGAATCCTCTGACCATTTAATGTCAATACTGTTGGCAATTGGCTGCCGGTGCTGATGATCGCCCGGTGCTGCTGCTACTGCTGCTGCAGCTGATGGTTGTCCAGACAGGTTAAGCCGACTGTCCAAACTAACTACCTGATAGTAGGTAGTGTTTGGTAGAATTTTTATGGCACTAGTAGGGGAAAAAATTGTAATCATGTATTTGTTAGGAACATCCCATCCCATCCCATCCYAAAAATCACTTACTCATTGTTAATGGACAGGTAGTCAGTATGTTGGGGTCGAATACGTATAGATATACGACCCATATATCCAGTTTCTCGCACATTATTATCATAATCATCATCATTCAATTTGTGGACAGGTATTGATATTTTATATTGATAACCTAGATAAATTATATATATATTTAAATTTAAATAATAATAATAATTATTATTATTGATTATAATAAATTACCGCAAAACGGTCTATTGGTTCTGGTTTTCAAATAAAACTTTTGCTGTCTATGTTTGCCATTATTATTATTATTATTATTTTGTTGTTGATAAAATCTAATTGAATGATAGCCCATAAGTGCACAATTATGTTGTTGTTGTTGGCCACCCTGTCCTCCTCCAAAAATTACAACATTACTACTACTACACATAGACTACATTGTTTGGCCATGGTAAACTGGTTCCAGCTTGAGCACCGGTAGGCYTTAAACATACATCTATTATTATTATTATTTGTTTGGGTATGCCGTTTAAATTTATTATTATTATTATTATTATTATTACTGGTATGACCTAGATTATAATTGATACTTTCGATATAGTATTCATTGGCACGYAGATGATTGCAGGCCACTACTAGCCGGGTACTTTCCATCAGATCCCTGTCCAATATSGACTTGATTTTATCCTGGGCACAACCGGGCTGATCGTGACCACTGTTATTATATTATAGTTACAAAAATATATTATATATATATTGATTAGTTTAGATGATAATGATAATGCTAACCCGTTTGGATAGAAGTCCATATGACCGACTGGGTGTTTGGTACCGGCCCCTATATTTATCAGGCTATTCAATGTATCCGTATGTATAACATCGACAAACAGGGCATCGGTACTGTCCAGGCGTACCGATTCGGGCATTGATCTGATTGATTGAAATTTTATTTTATTTTTTTGAGAAAAAAAAAACTTTATTTTTTTTAGTTTTTTTAAATAAAAATTTACTGAAACATTGGTGCTGCCGGATCTAGACCACTAATACGACCTAGCTTGTTTTTTGTTGGTGTCGACCCACTACCACCAATTAGTTGGCCAACATAGCCGGCTATCTGTGCACCTAAACTATGGCCAATTATGTGACACTTGTCAAACTTCAACAGTTTATTAGTTGATCGCTAATTAAATATTTTTKTTTAAAATTATATATATATATAGATATTTTTAAATATTTTTCAAAAAAATGTGCTAACTTATTTGTTTTTTAAATTAACTAGGTTATTAGYAWTTTCATTTATTAAAAAAAATTTTAAAAAAAATTACTTGTAAATTTTTCAACAATAAAACAATCTGTGCGGCCACTAGTCTAGCATTGGCTACTGCCTGGGTGTATGGCAACCCTAGTTTATATAGATATATATAACCAAATTTTTACAATGTTTATGATAATTTATCTAATGTTACACACACACACACACACACACACACACACACACACACACACACATACACACACACACACACACACACACACACACATACACACACATACACACACATACACACACATACACACACATACACACACATACACACACATTACACACACATACACACACATACACACACATACACACACATACACACACATACACACACATACACACACATACACACACATACACACACATACACACACATACACACACACATACACACACATACACACACATGTACACACACATACACACACATACACACACATACACACACATACACACACATAMACACACACACATACACACACATACACAAACATACACACACATACACACACATACACACACATACACACACATACACACACATACACACACACACACACACACATACACACACAYACACACACCCACACATACCGTTCCCATTAGACCAGTCGACAACTAATACATTATAATCTCCATAGACTAGTAGCTCATCTTTTAGACGGTGTATCCATTTTCCCTGTTCTAGGCTATCGAACAGTCCGTGAACTATCAGTTTTGTTTCCCGATTCCCGTCAAATATCCGCATAAACTTATCACTACTACTACTACTATTATTATTGCTAATAATATTCCGGTTTAACCATTGATCGGGAATCATCAGCGGTCGACCCGTTTGATTACTGTTGTTTTTGTTGTTGTTATGTTGTGGACGGGTATATAGATAGACACGTGTCCTGACCGTATCGGGTGATTCGGGCAATACGTTTAGCGGCCGATAGACTATATGATGGAAATCGGCTGTTATATTAAAACAGCCTAAATCTCCGTAACAAACAGTTTCATCATTAGCATCATTAGCATCATCATCGACATAACAGTCTATTTGGTAGATAACTGTGCCGATAGTTATTAGTATTAATAATATTTGATAATAATAATAATAAGTTTTCATCAAGGTCATGATAAAAATTTTTATTATTTAAAAAATAAATAAATAATTAATTAACTTTTTACTAGACACAAAAATTAACTTATTTATTTATTAATTAATTTATCAATCATTTTGATTATTATTTTAATTATTATTTATGAAAACTTTTTTATTAAAAATATGTAACAATTTTTTAAAATATACTGTAATTTTTATATTAGGAAAGTTTAGTTTTATTTTATCAAACAAATAATAATAATAATTATTTTTTTTCAATAGGAGAACCTTGAACAAATATTGAAAGTGAAAACTAGTTTAAGTTTTTTATTTATTATTTATCATCAAAATAGTTATTATATAAATAAAAAAATTTTATTGAAAACTATATAATCTAAATAATAACATATGATGCACAAAATTTAATTTTTTTTATCAGTAAATTTTTTTTTAAATGCGTGATTTAATTAAACAAAAAATTTTTAAATATTATAAACTATAGTATATTATATGCGGTTAACTTTTATCAAACTTTTAAAAAATACAAACAAAAATCATATTTTTTAGGCATAATTTTTATAATAATTAACTTAATTTTAGTTAAAATATAATAATAATTAGTTGATTAATTGATGATAAATTTTATAAAAATACTAGTTTCAAAAAATAAATAAATAAATATAAGTTTGATATAAGTCTATCAATATAGTTATAATTTATAACTTTATTATAAATATTTATTAAATTAAAATTTAATATACTTTATATAACTTTATATATATATATATAAAGTTATATAATAATTAATACTAAACAATATTAAATAATAGTATAAATAATAGAAATTAAAAAATAAAATAAAATTGTGTCAAATAAATGCAAACTAAATTTTTTTTGATATTTATTTTATTTTCTGAATATTAATATTTTTTGAATTTTTATTTTTAAATCAAATATTTGATCAAGCTGCAACTTAATCAAATAATAATAATAATAATAATTCTGTTAAAGTACACTGTTACTTTCACTTTAGGTACAATCAATAAATTACGTCCAACATTATATACTGTATATATATTTTATGGTTGACATTGATTTTTGTTTGTATTTGGATATTAATATTGAAATGCATAGGAGAAACCATTGAAATAATCATAAACATAGAAACCATTGGCTAAATGCCTCTAATAAGCAATATATATATATATAATAAATACATTTAATGGCTACACATTAGTATGATTAGTAATCATGGCTAACATTAGTTTGTTAAGTATCAATATACAGTATAGTCTATATATACAAATTGTTTGTATTAATAATTAATTTGTAAATTTTATAAATTTAATTTTTTGAAAAAATTTTATAATAAAAATTTTTAGTATAAATTATTAATTAATTAATTATGTTTCAATTTTATTTTTGTTTTGTTTAATTATATTAAATACTAATACTAATAATATTGTTATGTATTTTATTGTATATATTCATATATACGAGTCTAAACTGTACTGTTTTTTTTTGTTGATTAAAATATTTACTGTACTTTACTGTACTTTTATTGAACACACATATAGTGTGTGTTATGTTATGTTATTGTCTGTCATATCTATTTGATAGACAAACAGTGTGTTTGTGTTGTTATTGTTATCATTAAAACAAAATACAGTAATAATAATAATAATAACAGTTTTAAAAAAAAAAATTAAAAATTTTATAAAATTATATATATATTTACAACAAAAAAAAATGTTTATAAAGTAATAATAATGTGATAATGTATTAATAATATTAATTATTATTTTTTTGTTTTAATAATAATAATAATAATAATGAGCATGCTAAACTTGTATTAATTTAATATTGTCAATAATAATAATAATAATTGAACAAGGTTTGTTTTGTTTATTTATTTTTAAAAAAAATTAATTAAATTATTATTTTATATATGGTAATTATAGTTGTTTAATTTGTACAAGCTTAGTTTTAATTGTGATATTTAATTAATTGGTTATTATTAAGTTATAATCAACAACAAAAAAATTATCTATATTGTTTTTAGTAAAAAAATAGCTAATTTTTAAACACAAAAAAAACTAAAAATTATTATATAAATTATTATTTAAAAAAAAACTAACATCTACAATTTGAAATCAATATTATATATATATATATATGATATTAATATTATACATACATTTATATATGACTCATTATATTTTATAATTATCATAAATCATCATGTTACATAATAATAATAATTTTAATTTTAACACCCCACACTATAAATGTTATTAGTTAATAGTGTTAATATTAATAATAATGTAACTACCATGTCAACTTGAAATAAATTATCCAAGTTAATTTAATTCAATAGTATTATGGATATTAATAAACCCCATAAAAAATTTTTTTATCTTATAGTAATTAAATATAATGATCATTATATATATGTATATTTTTTTATTTTCAAAAAATGTATATTTTTTTATTTTCAAAAAATAATTTATAACCATTATTAACCAATTGCTATAATTAAATACTATTATAAAAACTTATGATGATAATAATAATGATGATGATAATTTATTAAATTTTTATTTATTTTATTATCATTAATAAATTGTTTTTTATTATTTTAATCTGAGTATTGTAGTAATTATTTTTATATATATATATATAATTTACTATTAAAAAATATTATAGTAGGAAAATTTTTAGAAAATAATTTATTTTAGTTTTTTTTATGATTACCTTATAGGAGGAGTACTTATATATATATATATACAGTATATATATATAAGGTTAAGGTATTTACCGTATATAACAAACATAAATACCCATAATTAACACCTAATATATATATATATATATATATATATATATAAATGGTTTAATGTATTTTATTTATTTATTTTGACTTTAATATCATCATAATATAACAGTTTTATATGATATATAAATATATTTTTTATTTTTTTATTTATATATATATAAATGTTTAGCAATAACTTGTTGTTGTGTTTAAAAACAAATTTGTGTTAATAGTATGTTTGTTTCATTACATTATTAATATATATAAAGTAAAATAATAAATAAAAAGTTTAAGCAAAAAAAATTATTAATTTAAAAAATAAATAAATAAAATACAGTGTATAACATGTACTGTATATAAGTATATAAAAAAATAGTAAATTATTAAAACATTATACTACTAAATGCTAAAAATTTATTTTTATAAAAAAAATAAAAATTTTATACACTGTACTACTTATTTTTTTAAAAAAAAATAAATACTATAATTATTTATAAATGTTTTAAAAAATTTTAATTATGTTATATATAAAATAAATATTTGAAATTATTATTAATTAATTAATTATCTAGGTATAATCAATTATATGTTATAGATTTAATTTTGAATTAATCAAACAAACAAACAAAAAAAAAACTAATATATATGTTATCTAATCTATTATCTATTATATATATATATTATACATGTATTTATATTTAGTAAATATATTTTTTTTAATTATTTGTATTTTCTAACAGATCTGATATTTTTATAACCAAAAAAAAATATAATAAAAAACAAAACAAACAACACATTAATGATAATGTTGTTGATATTGTTGTTAAAGTTGTCGCTATTGTCGAGGAAATGATAGTCGCATCTGTTGTGGGGAACGACTACTACTACTACTACTACTCCAACAACACTGTCGACCACCATATCATTAGCAGCCAAGTGTTACATACAGTTAGATAAAGATAGAGAAGCTATCTATTAATCTCCCGTCACCTCAACATTAAACTTATATATATTTATATATACCTTATCTATCTCTTATACTTATAACAAATTATACCCCGAAAAAAATATATATATACTTAAAAGTCGACGACCACTACTACTACTACTACTACTACTACCGGTAGAGTAGAGTTAGATATAAGGCCAACAACCAAAAAAAACCCTATCGTGTCGTACCCCCAGATGATTAACTAAATAATTAAAAACTAAACTAAACGCTTGACTGGACTGTTCATCATCAGCACCTATACCTTTCATAGAGAGGGTAGTATAATCTCACAACAACTGTTTAGTGTCTCAATTGGCTTCAACTAAACTAAATAAGTGTAGTCATCATCAACAACAACAACAAATAATCTGGTGGTCATTCACCCCATCCCCACCCACACCGTCAACCCACAACTACCGGAGCCCCCTCCTATCTCATCGGGTGGAGGGGAGGGGTAGAAGCTAAATGGAGCTAAAAGTTTGGTGCGACGGTATTCAGCGGGTAGTATGCGGTGTCTCCCAGCAGACCACCTGCCAGGAAGTGGTGTTTGCATTGGCACACGCCTCCGGCCAGACGGGCCGGTTCGTACTGATTGAACGTTTTCGCAATCAAAACGAACGACTACTGGCACCTACTGAACATCCGGTTCTCGTACTAAGCAAATGGGGTGACTATTCATCGGATGTCCAGTTTGTTATGCGTAGAAGCGGTGGCGGCCTATCGGATGGCCTACAGAAGCTCAACAACGGCAACGGCCAGCCATTGACTGTTAGTTCGCCAACTGTTATGTTTCCGACGGCGACGACCACCGGTAGACGGACTGGAAGCCCGACGACTCTAAACCTATTCAATGGTAATTCAATGCACCGAAAGTCGTCATCGTCTGGTCATCGATTAGGCAATGCTGCTGCTGTCGGCGGCACCGGTATGTCGTAGTGTTTGTTTGTTTGTTAATATCTGTTTAGTTATTAATAGTTAGTTATTAATAGTTAGTTATTAATAGTTAGTTATTAATAGTTAGTTATTAATAGTTAGTTAGAGAGTGAGAGAATTAAAGAGAGAGTGAAAGAGAGAGAGAGAGTTAGTAAAAGTAGTTTTAAAATATATAATGTTTAGTATAGTTATGTTTTTTTTCAACAAAAAAAGGCTTAACCCATATATTTATGTAAATTTTTGGTTTTAATTGAAATTTATTTATTTTTTTAAAACAGATTCATCGACAGCGAGATCAGTATCATCATCAGCAGTAGCTACCAGTGCCAACACAACAAGGAATGGTGGCATAATTACCAACAACAACAGCCCAACAGTTAATGGCAATGTCATTAACAACAACAACAACAATAACAGCACCTCCACCCACGCCCACCATCATCATCAACATATCAATAGCACAGCCATAAACAACAATACAAACACCAGCGCAACAACACTGACACAGAATACTAGTGCCATAAAGTCGTCGTCGTYGTTGTCGTCGACGCCCAACCATACCATCCATACGACCCAAACAAATATCAATACTACTACTACTACTACTAACTCAAACACGTCTAGTCTAAGTCATCATACCATACCATCAAACCATAATAATAATAATAGTATTAGTAATACTAATCTAATTAACAATAATATTAATAATAACATCAATAATAATAATAATAATAATGAAATATTAGCCGATAATCAATTGATATACGATTCGTTGACCACCGGTTCTAATCATCGGCCCAGACGTCCGCCGCCCTATTGCGAAGCTATTAACAAGTCGGCACTGGTATCGTCGTCGGCGGGTGGCACCGGTAGCCCAGTAAACACTAGTCAAACAACAACTTCATTGTCAAACAACCACAACCACAACACCAACAACAACGGTAACAATCATTTAGTTCACGTAGACTACGACTCGTCTCCGTCGTCTCCATCGCCCGTCGATGACGACGACGACGACGACGAAAGGATAGATCTACCGATTATTATGAGGACAACTACTAGTAATGGTGGCGGCGGTGGTGGTGGTGGTGGTGCCGGCAGTTTTAGTTCAGGTAAACGTCGATCGAAAGAACCGTCGGCACAGTCACAGAGCAAACTGAAGACAGGAGTGATGACTGGCGGCGGAGGCCGGCCGTCGTCGATGATTATCGGCGGTGGCGGCGGCAGTCATAAGGATCTACTGTTGCATAGAGACGCCCAACGATTGGTCGAAATGCAAAGACAGACAATGCGGGCACAGGAACAGGTGTTTTATCTAACTGTTCTCTATCTCTCTCTCTCTCTCTCTCTCTCTCTCTCTCTCTCTCTCTCTCTCTCTCTCTCTCTCTCTCTCTATCAATGTTTAAAAGTATTTAATGTTTTGTTTTATATTGTTTTAAATGATTAGGTAGTAGTTTGTTAAGTCCCGGTGCTCTTTCTCTCTCTTTCAGTCAGTCAATCAATTCAATGCACTGTTAGGTTATGGATATATATAGAGATATAGATAATTGTTTTGTTGCTGTTTTATAGTTTGATATTAATATAATCAGTAATTTTATGTATATATATATATATATATATATATATATTGGTAATACTCTATGATATCTTATTATTATTATTATTATCAACTGTTTAAACAATTAGTGTGAAAATGTTAAGTAAATAGTGATTTTGTTATATATATATATATATATATATAAGTAAATAGTATTAAGTATTTATTTCATATTTTTTGTTAATAATTATTGAATTTTATTGATAATTATTAGTTTATATTATAAATTGGCACAAATTTTATTAGTTTTTTTTTCAGAGTAATTATGAAATTATGTTTTTTAAATTGATTTTATTTTTTATATTAAGTTTTTAGTTGTTTATATACTGTATATACGGTATATATAGTAAAATATATAGTATATAATTAACAATTGATAATTGATTTTAAAAAAATTTATTCAATGACAGCTAAATTATTGTTATTTTTGACGTTTTTTTTAAAAATTATTTGTTATAATTTTCACTACACAATATCATATCCTTTATCACTATATATATATAATATATATATACAGTATTTCATATAAAATAATTTTTAGTTACATTTAGTAAATTAGTAAAAGTAAACTTAAAAAGTTATAAACAAACAATTTTTGTCGTATATATATAAAAAAACACTGTTTTATATATTTTTTTTTTTAATATTTAACGTTTATTAACCATTTGATAATTTGGTACTTAAATACATAGTACTGTAGTAATAGTAATAGTTATAATATTTTAGTTTGAGATTTACTACACTAAAGTTAACATTATCTTAATGTATGTATGTGTGTGTAAGCTAACTGTCCATTAGCTAACTTTTTTCAAATTTAATTATTATTATTATTGACTTTTTTTAAACAAAAAATAAAATAAATTTTTTTTTATCTTTACAGGAGATGTCAGCCATTGAACAACACATCGAAACCATTGAAAAGAAACTAATGGACAACGAGTCGGCCATCAAAGTCTACAAACAGGAAATGGATTGTCTGCAGCAGCTATGGCTGGATCAGGAATCCATGATTGAACAGTTCAGTCAACAATCGATGGACAGGGAACTGGATGAACTAGTTGATAGGGCACAGGCCTACGAAGATGATATGCGTCAGGTTAAGCATAAGCTAAGTACATGCGAAACCCAGATCGGCGACTGCCGGCAACAGATCAACCGATTGATGGATCAGTTGGACGACTATGAACTCAAGAGACAGCTGAACGGCGAACTGGTAGCTCAGGAAGCGGCCGACAGACAGCGATTAGCTGTCGATCAGCTTATGGAGGCTATCGATGACAAGTCTAGCGATTATGAGACACAGGTATATGTTGTTTATATAAGTTGTATATAATTATTACGATACTAATTATTAACTATCTATTTATTTACCTACCGTTCCTCTCTCTCTCTCTCTCTCTCTCTCTCTCTCTATATATATATATATATATATATATATATATATATATATATATATAAAACAGAAAACTGAATTACAAACACTTACACAAAATATCGACGAATTGGACAGTCAACTGACCGACCGTAACGCCGAAGCCGAACGCCTACTAAACGATCTCAAAGAGGCTAACCTACTGGGACTGACACTACAGTCATCGTCAGGCGATGCCGACCTGCTGTCGCACTATCAGTCTGGCGGCTGTCCGGGCAGTACTAATAGCCGACAACCAAACCAACAAATGTTTCACCACAGCCGATCGGGTAGTACACGCAGGATGATCGGGTCGCCCAGGGAGCTAGAAAATGCAGTGGCCACCAATAAAAACCCGCACGGGGTATGGGTTTAAAAACCCCGGCACACACCCACACACACTTGCACACACCTACATACACACCCATTACATCACATCATATAACATAATGATGGGGCAACAGTTAGCTACTATTACTAGTACAGGTAGATAGATAGCTAACTGTGCCCCCTCCCCCTCCCCCTCCCCCTCCCCCTATCTCTATTTATCTATATATATATATATATATATCAATGAATGATAATCATTGACACTATTATTATTATTATTTGTAGTATTTATTACACACACACACTGTTTTGTCGATCAAATTGTTTTATATATATATATAATTAAGTTTTTTTTTATTATTTATAATTTTTGAATGAATCTGCCGTCTAATTGAAAGTTTTTTTATGCGTGAATTTTATATTATAATTATTAGTAATTTTTATTAATAATTTTTAAAAATTAATTAATTAATTAATTAATTAGTTTTGTGAAGTATTAACGTGTGTTTTAACGAGTGATTTTGAAGTATTTTATATATATATATATATTATTCACAATATGTATAATTAAAATGTAGTATTAATTTAATTTTTAATTTTTTAACGCACCAAATGTTTTTGTTTTATTTTATTTTTTTAAAAAAAATATTTACAATCACAACTATTATTATTATTATTTTTTTAAAATTTAATTTATAATTTATTTTCAATTTTATTTTCTAAATTATTAATTGTATAAATTATTTGCATATATTTTTTTGTTTGTTTATAAACAGTATTAATGAACAAATTTTTGTCACATTTTATTTTTGATTTAATTAATTATTATTATTAATTTGATAAGTTTGAAAATATTTTTATTTTATTTTCTTTTCTTTTATTATCTCTAATAATTTCAATTAGTATTTAATAAATTTTTTATTTCAAATATACTTATTATATAATAATAACATGTTATACGTAAAAACATAATATTTGCACCAAAAAAAATATACTCAATTTGAAAGCAAAGTTTTAAACAATAAATATTATAATATTAATGAAAAGTAATACAAAAATATACTATAAAATGTTAAAATTAATATTATAATTATTGAAAGTATTAAAAAAGTAAAAAAATATATTTATATATATTTACAGTATATTATAAACTATAGCACTTTTTAAAAAATAAAAATTTAATTATAAATTTTAAATATTATGTTAATAATGATTTTTTTTAAATAAATATTAAAATATTAAAATACATTATATTATATTAAAAATTTTAATTAATAAAAAATACAGTAAATGATAGAAAATATAAATAATAAACAAAATAAAAGATAATACCTCTCTATAGATACGAATTTGTGATTTTTTAAAAAAAATAATAAAAACATAAATAAATTATATAATAACTAATCGATTGGATTATCTTTACATTTGTTACCACAAAAAAAAATTTATGTCATTTTATGTAATAAATTTTTATTTTGAAATTAAGATTATAATAATAATAATTATTATTATTAGTATTATTATCAATAGTTTATTATAACATCAAAAACATTATAATTTTAAAAAAAAATAATAAGAATAATTGAAATAAATTATCATTATATTTGAATAGTAATGTTATTAATTAAATATTTAAAAATAATAATAAAATTTTGATTTTTTAAAAACTTTAATTTTGTATTTTATTTTATTTTTTTTATATTACAGTATATACACTGTATTAAACATAAAAATTAGATGAAATAATTTAGTTGCTATATATATATATATATATATGATTAATAAAAATAGTTTATTTTTATTATATATTATAAAACTAGTATCACAATTTTATAATAAATTTTTATGCAATAAAAATTTAATATAGTAGTACAAATTATATATATATAATGTATATTATAAAAAAATTACTATAGTTTTTAATCATTAAAAAAATATTATATCTATTTTATATATCTATTTTGATAAATACAGTATAATACTATTGAATATAATACAGTAAATATACAGTTATAGTAACTATGCAATTATTTTTTTTTTAAAAAGTAAATATTTATATTATACTGCATATAGTGTTGGATCAACATTCCTTAGGAGGGAAGTTTCTTTATATTTAAAAAAAAATATTAATTAAAATATACCTTCAATTTTCCACAAAAAAAATATTGATAAATTATTTTTTTTATAATATTACAATAAATTTTAGTAAGAAAAACTTTTGAAAATATTCAACAACAAAAATAAATTTTAATTGAATTAAAATTTATAAATCTGATACTAATTATATATATACTTATATATATATATAATTATATATAACTTAACACTACAGTTTAATTTTTCATATAATATTTGTTTGTTTTTTTTTGAAAACATCAGTAATAATATTATATAGTTTAGTTTCCCTAGGAATTTCCCCCCCCCCATCCTCTCAAGGAAACATAGGGAACATAAGGTAAAAGTTTCAGGGAAAAAATAAAACATAGACAGTGAATCTGATCTAACACTAAATTTTTTTATTATATAAACATTATGGCTGCAAATATTACACTATCAAAAAATATATATTACATTCACATTATATAAAATTTATATATATATATATATATATATATAAAACCTGTATTTGTTTGTTATCAGTTGTATACAAAAAAAAAATTCATATACTGTATATAAAATACAGTACTGTTTCATAATTGTTAAATCAATTTCAATTAATTGAATATTTTTTATTTTTTAGTTAAAACTTTAATTATTAAGTTTTTTTGTGTGTGTATATACAGTATATACTATATATATATATATATATATATATATATATATATATATATATATATATATATATTGAACATAAATAAAATTTTAAAAAAAATCATCATGGCCAATTGGCTAACTGATACGTTCAATAATGTTTTAGGCAGCAATATAACACATGTGGCCAATGCCTATGGACAGTGCGACTATGTTTGGATCAATTTCAGACGTACCCGACTGACCATCGATGATATCAGGCTAGCAGTTAGGAAAACTGGTGGTAGTAGTCCGGGTCAGGGAGACGGCCAGATAAACATCAGTCAGATATGGGTAGAAAGTTTTGTACGGTTACCGTACCGGGAGATACATCGGGAACGCCGATCAAATACATACGACTATATGACAGTGTTTGGTGTGGATGTGGATACCGGTGAAGTGGTCGATATTTGTCATAATTATGAAATACCGGCCAACCGGTCGTACATTGTTACGGCTACCGGCGGCCTAAAGGAGAGTGTCTACGATAAACTGTGGACCGATCACGAGGGTCGGTATCATTATCGCCGATAACTGGGCCCCATAACTAACTGGGTTATATACTGGTRCTTAATATATCTCGTATATACCCTTTATACTGTATATATATATATATATACTTTATATATATATATATGTATATATATATATATATATATATATATACACAGTATTTATATATAATATATATATATATATATATATACACAGTATATATATACAATATTTATACAGAATATATATATATATATTTATTTATTTATTTATAAGCATACAGTTATAGCTATTTGTGTATTAAAAATTGATTTACAGAATATATATATATATATATATATATATATCGGTAATATCTTGTCTTCGTAAACTTGGCCAGTGATTGTCTCCTTTTTGTCGCAAACAGTATATTAAATATACTACTGTAATGAATAGTTAAATAAATAAAAATTAATAATAAAAAAATTATTTTATTTATTAAAATTTTTAATAATTATTTTAGTTTTTAATTTAATTGACTTCAAATACTTTGTTGCATTCAATGTGTTTAATTATAAAATTATGGCCAAAAATTTGTGGGAAAATTTAGTGGGTGAGGGAATTAGCTTTTATTARTTAATCAATATATTATTATTATTATATATCTATAACTAAAATAAAAATATTTATTACTAAAACAAAGAAAACTATTTGCTAAAAAATATACATTAAAAATAATATATTTATACGGTAYATTAGTAATTATTATTAATCAATATATTATTATTATTATTATTATATGGCCAAAAATTTGTGGGAAAATTTGGTGGGTGAGGGAATTAGCTAAATTAATCAAAATTATATTTATTATTATAACTAAAAATATTTATTACAAAACAAAGAAAACTATTTGCTATTATTTTTATATATAATTTTATAATAATAATAACTAGCTAACTAATAATAATAATTATTACAATATACATATATTTTTTATTAAAAATTAAAAATAGTGTAAATTTATGACTAGATAATTGTGATAAATAAAATAGAATAATTAAATAATTAAATTATTTATAAATAATCAAGATTATTAATGAAATAAAAATTTAATTTATAAAATATTAATATTAATAATATTATTTGGGTCGAACCAATTTTTTGGGTACATAAGATCTTCTAGGTACTTTTGATAGAACAAATTGATTTTTATGAATTACTTTAATATTAGTATTCTTATTATTATTATTATTATTAATATTTAGTTTTCTAATTTTCAACATAATAATTTTGTCGATAAATACCAACATCATATTAATCAAACTATCCGTTAGAAATGTAAACACGGAAAACCCAAACCATACGCTTATAGTACCGCCAACTAGTGTCAGATATTCCTCGGTTGAAATTTTCAACGATATATCGTATATCCAATCGGGTTCCATGGGTAACATTAGCAATACGTTAATTATATTTAAATCACCATGATCACTAGTTGTTGTTGTTGTTGTATCGTAAATTGGTTCAAGGTAATAGTTGATGGATGTAAAATTTTCATAACAATGTCTTATTAAATTTTTTGGACATTTATTATCTAGTTTTTGTTGACAATAATCGAAATTAAAATTAAAATCCATTAGTAAATTATCACTGTATGACATATTATAGTAAAATAAATATTGCATTGGATACGTATTATTAATTGTCAACGATTGATTTAAATTGCAATCGATTAGACAATTTTTCCTAGATTGCCATGTACATTTTGGATAAATATTCTCGGCTAATTTGATTTGATAATGTTTCAAATAGATTATATACGATTGATTTAACCTAGATAAAACAATACCATTTTGATTATTATAAATATTGATAATTGGTTCCGTACGTTGACCAACAAATAGATAGACACTTTTAATTGATTTTTGTTTATTAAATAATAACCGGATAAATGCTATTGGTAATAATTTATTTTCAATTTTATTAAAATTTTTAACAATTTCATTTGTATAATTTAATTGATGTTGTTGATTTTGATTATTATTATTATTATTATTATCATCATCAATTGTTGTCCATTCGGAAAATATTGTTGAACATACAAAAAAATTGTTCATGGAAATTTTGTAGCTTGATAAATTCAATAATTTATTTAGTAAATAACTTTCCATTATCATACTATCTATTGGTACTAATAAATCTAATTGTTTTCTATAGGATAATTTATTAATTTTTTTTAATGTTAAATTATTAGTTTTAATTATTAATGATTGTTTTTGCCAACAAATAGTTAATGCAGGTAGTACGTTTTGTAAATTATATTCATATCTATAAGTATTTTTAAAAAAAAATAAATTAATTAAACATCAAAAGCATTGCAAAAAAACAAACTTTAATTTGCTAGAAATTAAAGTTTGTATAACTAATAGTTTATAAATTTAATGAATATTATGATTTTCATTAACAATACATTAGCACTAATTTTTTAAAAAAAATATATTTAATTTAAGTATATTTTACTAATATATATAGACAATTATCAAAATATTTTTAGATTTTTTTGTAAAATCTCATAGAATATATAGAAATATTTTAAATATATTATTGTTTTTTTTGACAATATTTTTATAATTGTGTTTATTAACATTATGAAAAAGTATTAATAAATTTAATTATTTTAATGTAATTTAAAGTTTTTTTTATATTATTTATATTTATCATTAGTAAATATTTTTTCTTATGATATTTCTATAATTTATATAAATTAATTTATACCATTAAAGTTTATTGTTTTTTTCTGGCAATGCTATCTAGCATTTACATTATCTATTTTTTTTATCTTTTTTTAAAATAAAATTACCTGACATTTGTTGTTGTGTCAAATCTAATATATACTTTAGTTAACGTATATAATTGATACATACATCCCATTGAACACAATAAATAACATATGATTGAAAAATGTGTTTTAGTAAACATAATTAAATTTTTAGAAAAAATTCAGTAAATATCTAAATATATATCTAAATAAATAAATTAAAAATATTATATATATTTATTAGTTAAATATTTTTCGTATGATTTATAAACTATTATATTTTATTATTATTATTATTATTATTATTATTATTATTATTATTATTATTATAAAATATATGAAATATTAAACAATAATTTAATTTAACTGTTATTCAACTCAACTGTAAATCAAATGGCATTAACAAACAAACAGATTAATTAATATTATTAATAAAAACTTAACATGCTAAAAACAATTATTTTTTAAAAAATATATATATAATTTAAATTAATTATTTTAATAATTAATAATTATTTTGTTATTCAAATACTATTTATGTTGGTGTTGTTGTTGCTGTTAACAACATATAAAAATTATATATATATTTTTTATTAGATTATTGGATTTATAATTAACCCTAATAATTATTTTGATAAAATATTTTATTATTTTTTTCTAATTATTAAAATAATTAGTTTACTATATATTTATATAAATGTCTATACAGTTTATTGTAAATTCAATCTATTGATTTTTATTTAAAAAATTAATTTTCTATTATTATTAATTTTATTTTAGTTTTTTTTTGACTATTATTATTGTTATAAATTATTTTTCTCGAAATGGTTTGCAATGGGTTTTTTTAAATGTTAATTTCTTAATTAAAAATACATTTATAGTAATATTGTTAAATAATAATAATWATTATAATAATGATAATCACATTTAACTTAATTTATTTAGTAATTTTACTTTACAACTACAAAACATTTATTTATAATTATTATTATTGTATTTCTTATTATTTTATTTTTGTTTTTATATTTTACATTAAATTTATTTTTAAAATACTGTATGTATTGATATACTATATGCTGCTAATATATACACAATATTATTGAATTTAAATAATTAATTTAAAACATATAACTATAAATAATTAAAAAAACAATAACAAAACAATATATTAAAAATTAATTTATTATTTAAAAAAATTTTTTTTTTGTTAACAAACAGTTATTAGTTGTGATTAAAAATAAAAATTTACATAAAATAAAAAACAAAACAGAAATAAATTATAACTAAATGATAAAAAAAATTCAACAACAAAACAAAACAATAGATTAAAAATTAATTAAAAAATAAAATAAAAACTAATTTTCGTTATAATAATAATAATTGACTCCAAATACGATTGCATTCAATATGTTTTAAATTATAGCCAAAATTTGTAGGAAATTTCTGACTATTGTTAAACTCATAGTACGGTTTAATTAGTGTACTAATGTTGCCGATAGTCATATTATAATAGGCTGGCCATTGGCCAACACCCGCTGATGGTCTACCAGTTTTGACAAACCGTGTCACAACATCTAGCATTTCCCGGGAAAGTAGACGTTCCTCTGGTTGATAGTTTCCGGGATCGAGAAATGGTAGACCAAAAACATAGTATATATCATCCATATGACAGGCACCCATCCATTGGGCACAGTATACTTTTGGCCATCGGCCCAGTTTACTATTGTAATAGTATTGATAGACCTGGGCTGCTCGGGGATCGGCCTGCCAAACCATTTGACCAAATAGTATAGTCGGACAACCAATACGTAGGTCACCGAAAGCTATGCCCAACTGCTGGCTCAGGGTATTGACATCCGACCCGTTGGACAGTCCAGTAAAATAAAATTTGTTGATTGACTCTACAGTTTGATTGTCTACTTGATTAAAATATAGGGAAATTATATTGGCGAGCTCCTTGGTAGCACCCAGGTAGTCAATCGGATTGGGTTTACTATTAGCATATCTATGATGATCTTCCTCTAAGTGTATCAATGGACTACCCTCATCCTGGGTAGTAGTAATCAATAGATTCAGACCCTGTTTGAATTGGCCAGTTTGAAGCCGGGACTGGTAGTTCAGGGGTATTAGTTGATTATCGGGAACCAGTAGCTGAAATGGTCGTCCAGTGGCTCCTCGATAGTCTAGCTTATAGTATAGCTCAAGTATAAAGCCGGCCGGTTTACTTTGCAGACAGTCTAGCATTTCGGGTGTAATAGTTGCCACTAGGGTTTGATTGCTACTATGGCCACCGCCACCACCCGTCGGGTTCGCGGGACAACCAATTCGGGTGGCAGCCGTCGACCATAAATGTTCGGCCAGCGAAGCCGTAGTCATTGACCGTTGGCTAACCAATGCACCCGACATAACAATAGCCCGGCTAAACAATTGACGACTAACTGGTGACATAATATGTGCGGTTACCGATTCGCCGCCAGCACTCTGGCCAGCAATGGTTACCCGTAGGGGATCGCCGCCAAACGATCGGATGTTTTTCTGTACCCATTTCATAGCCATTGTCTGATCCCATAGTCCTTGATTGCCCGGTGCCCGTCCATCGGCTCCTTCCCGGTACAACAACCCGAACCCGTTAAGCCTATAGTTAATAGTAACGACCACCAAATCGCCCAGTGCTGCCAATACTGTGCCGTTGTAAAACTTTTCGGCTGCCGATCCCCATACCAGACCACCGCCGTGTATCCAAAATAGGACAGCTTTTAATTTCCTACTACTCCTACTCCTACTCCTACTCCTACTACTACTACTACTACTAGTCGGTGACCATATGTTCAAATACAGACAGTCCTCGCTTTGCCTATGAGTATAGTAATCCGTATGAAATATCTTATGATAACATGCCATTGCCCAGTGTCGGGCATCCAATGGTTTAGTCCAAGGTTTGTTGTCCAATGGTAACGGTCGACGAAATCGTAGCCTACCTACCGGTGGCTGTGCATAGGGTATACCCAAAAATACGTTCAACTCGTGGCCATCATAGCTATCCCGTAGACCATTGACCAAACCTTTACTTAACCTAACAGTTATCAAATTTTTTGTTTGATTTTTACTACATTTACTATATGTAGTTAACAATAGTATTATTATTATTATTATTATATTGAAAACAACTAAAAACTTTTTATCAAACATTATTATTAATTAGTTAACAACAAAATATAAGGTTTAAGTTTTTTTACTGTATTAAAGTTAAAATTAATATTACAGGTATTATCTAAACAAAACAAAAATTTATAAACTATAAAATCAATTAAATATTTATTTATTTATTTATATATCAATATATAATCAAAATTATTATTACATTTGTATTAGTATTTTGCAATTTAAAAAAAAAATCTTATTTTTTTTATTTTGAAAAGTAAAGTACATTATTGTTTAAATAGTAATAACAATAATAATGATAATCATATTTAACTTAATCATCAATATATTAATTTTACTTTACAACTACAAAACATTTATTTTATAATAATTATTATTATTATAATATAATGTAATTATTAGTTTTTATATTAAATCAATCAATTTTGTTTTATCTATATTATTCAAAAATTAATTAATATAATTTTTCTTTTTGATTAAACTGATTTTAGTTTAATTATAATTATTAAAGTCAAAAATTGTTAATTTTAAAAAAATTATTATTGCATTTAGTTTATTATAATTAATTGCGAAAATTTTTTTATTACATTATATTATGAAAAACTTTTTTTTTTATTAGTTATAATAATAATAATTGAAATGATAATCAATAAATTGTTTAACTAACTATTCATTTAATTTTGTTTGAAATTAAAATGATAAATATTTTCTACAATAAAGTAGTAAAATGTTTTTTATAGCTAAAAAATTATTTGTTTAAATAAAATTATTGATTAATATAATTGAAATTTTATTTTCAACTATAAAACTACAAATATATTTATTTTTTTTTATTTATTTATAATAATTTATTAATTTATACAATATTTTTTTTATAGCAAATTAATAAAATCTAATACAATATTAATATAATCTAATAAAATTAAATAATATTACAATAGATTAATTTTATAATTAAAAAATAAAAAATAAATAAATTAAAGTCATTTATTTCATAAGATATTTAAACTGTATATAAAATATATTAGAAATAAAATACTTAAAAAAATAAATTTTAATGCTATTTATTTTATGTTATTAATTTAAAAATTAATTAATTTTTTAATTAAACTTTTTTATTTTTTTTTAAAAAAGAAAACATATTTGCCTTTTTCAACCATTTAATACTAAAACGACAATAACATAAAAAAAAATAATTCAATCAAAATTAAACAAATTGAAAAAAAAGTTATTATATTATATATTAATAATAACATTAATAATAAATAATTTTAATTATAATAATAATTATGATTAAATTATTGTCATTATTATTATTATTAGTTATACTATTAAATATTAGTGTCAATTGTGGCCCTTATAATGATAACGACTACTATGATAGTCGTGGCAGTGGTCATGAAGATTATGGTTATGGTGGCGGTGGTGGTGGTGGTGGTGGTGGTCGTCATCATTTAGGTGGTGGTAGTGGTGGTGGTCGTCATCATTTTGGTGGTGGTCATCATTTAGGTATGGGTGGCGGTCGTGGTCGTCGACCTTACCGTCCCTTAGAGACACACAATAGTGATTATCAACCACGATATGGTGGTCCACCACCTCGACGACATCCTCGACCCTATTATCTACCTCCAGGACATCCACGACATCATCAACCTATGTCTCAGTTGGAATATTTTAGCAAATTAAGTATTAAAATATTTTTGTCTTTCATATATATTATATATTAATGTTATACACATATAAATAAATACACATAAATACAAACACACACACACACACACACACACACACACACACATATATATATATATATATATATATATATATACATACACACATATATATACATGCACACACATATATATATATATATATATATATATATATATACATACACATAGATACAAACACATATATACACAAACATATACATACACACATATATACATGCATACACATAAAAATATACACACATATACATATACACATATATATAAACACATAAACACATAAACACATAAACACATAAACACATAAACACATAAACACATAAACACATAAACACATAAACACATAAACACATAAACACATAAACACATAAACACATAAACACATAAACACATAAACACATAAACACATAAACACATAAACACACACACACACACACACACACACACACACACACACACACACACACACACACACACACACACACACACACACACACACACACACACCTTATAATACACACATATAAACACCAAATAACACCAAACTATTAATTAATTAATTATCAATAATTTAAAAAAAACAAGAATCCGGTTCTGACGACAGCTGCCGGTGTGGTCTCATAACGGGTCGTCTGTGCGGCCATCAAGTGGTTCAGTCGGACCGGGAGGCCAAAGCTCGTCGCACTGAACCCTATCTGAAAGGCGATTGCGAGACAAACGGTTTGTATGAATGCCATCAATCGGGCGCTGAGGCCGTACTCGTGAAAAAGTGCCGCAACTGTTACTCTGAGGGCAATTCAGTACAGTGTCAGTCATATCATTAAAAAAATGAAAATAATATATTTATTATTAATTTTATAATTTAAAAAAAA